CATGCCTCGGCCTCCCAAGGTTCTGGGATTATAGGCATGAACCACCGCACCCATCTTAAAATTAAAAAAATTTTTTTGTAGAAACAATGTCTCACTTTGTTGCCGAGGCTGGTCTTCAACTCCTTGCCTCAAGAAATCCTCCTGCCTCAGACTCCCACACTGGATTAGAGGCGTGAGCTATGGTGCCTGGTCCAAATCAGATTTTTTAAAGAGGCTACCACTCTTTCACACTCCCCCATCCCAAAATGCAGAAAGGTAATTACAGTTCAGATGTATCAGCAAGACTGACTCAGGAACAAAAGAGTGAATGGGGTATATGTCTATTTCCATAAACAGTGGAAATCTTCATGACAACCCTGCAAAGCCAGGATCACTACTCCTATTTAACAGATGAAGACACCAGTTCAGTGTCCTAAGAGCAGGACTCTAATCCAGTAGGATTGGTACCTCTGTAAACAGGGGCAGAGATACCAAAGAGCTCCCTCTTTCTCACTGTGTGTGAACAAAGGAAAGGTCACGTAAGGACACAGCGAGAAGGTCACCGAATACAAGCCAGGAGGAGAGTCCTCACCAGAAACTGAATTCTCCAGCACCTTGGTATTGGACTTCTAGTCTCCCTGCAGAATAGTGAGAATGACTATCTGTTGTTTAAGCCACCTAGCAAGTAGTATTTTGTTACAACAGCCTGAGAAGACTAATATACCTAGAGACCCAAATGTAAAGCCTCCTGCGAACCCAAGCTGATAGTCACTAAGCAGGTCTGTTACCCAGGGTCATTGCTACGTCTAGGTTTCTTGGGACCCAGTGCCCACTGGAGTTATAGTCCCCTCCCTTTTTTTTTTTTTAGACAGAATCTCACAGTGGCATGATCTCAGCTCACTGCAACCTCCGCCTCCCAGGTTCAAGCGATCCTCGTTCCTCAGCCTCCCGAGAAGCTGGAATTACAGGCGCCTGCCACCACACCCAGCTAATTTTTATACTTTTAGTAGAGATGTGGTTTCGTCATGTTGACCAGGGTATTCTTGACTCAAGAACCCAGTCAAGAACTCAAGTGATGCACCCGCCTCGGCCTCCCAAAGTGCTGAAATTACAGGCCTGAGCCACTGTCCTCAGACTATAGGCCCATTCTTTTCCCTGCCCTCATCCTCTAAAACCAGGTTCCAGCTCCCTTCCTGAATTCGCTTGGTCCTTATTCCTATATTTCCCCTCGTACTCACCATATCATTCCCTTGGCTCAGGAAGTCGTCTGCAACGCAGAGAAATTCTTCAGGAGATTGTTTTCTTGCCATTTCTTCATGAATGGTTCCCACTTTGAGAAGCTTCAGATGTGACTGTAAATTTCACGTGGGGGAGGAGGGGCAGGGGATGGGAGTGGCCATGCCAAGGAAAGAGGTCAAGTTTCCCCTGCTTCATCCGCCATCCTTGGGGGAAAAAACCTTTAAGGAAGAATCAAGAGCTCCTTTATGGAGCTCATCTGGCTCTGAGGAGGGGCTGGGTCATGGGCCTCAGCTGCTGCAGAGCCCCTCCCTCCTGAGTGCCCAGCTCCTTTGTCTTCCCCTAGTGAGGAAACAGCTCCTGTTCCCAAGAAGTCCACTCCAGCCTCATGGCTTCATCCTAGCAACTAATAATTAGCCTAGGATTGGAGAGAGGGCTTTTCAAGGGAACAAAACCAGCATAGACTTCAGTGAAAACAACGTAGATTTTGGAATCAGACTAACAGGGCTGTGATTTCTGGCTGTGAGCCTTTCTAGGGGATCTTAAACCAGGCAGTCATCTCTGAGCAGTGTCTTCATCTGTTAAATAGGAGTAGTGATCCTGGCTTTGCAGGGTTGTCATGAAGATTTCCACTGTTTATGGAAATAGACATATACCCCATTCACTCTTTTTTTCCTGAGTCAGTCTTGCTGATACATCTGAACTGTAATTACCTTTCTGCATTTTGGGATGGGGGAGTGTGAAAGAGTGGTAGCCTCTTTAAAAATCCTATTTGGACCAGGTGCCATAGCTCACGCCTCTAATCCCAGTGTGGGAGTGTGAGGCAGGAGGATTTCTTGAGGCAAGGAGTTGAAGACCAGCCTCGGCAACAAAGTGAGACATTGTTTCTACAAAAGAAAAAAAATTGCCAGGGTGGTAGGCTGAGGCAGGAAGATCACTTAAGCCCAGGAGTTCCAGGCTGCAGTAAGCCATGATTGTGCCACTGCATTCTAGCCTTGGCAACAGAGCAAGACCTGTCTCAAATAAAATAAATAAAAATAAAAATAAAAAGTCTGATTTGTCCTTTGTTGTTGTTCAAGAAGTATGCCTTCAGAAAAAGCAGACTAACCACAATTGCTGCCCAAGCACATCTTCAGAAAGGCAAACCCACCCTCCAAATGATACATTAGTGAGCAATCATTCAAAGACTAAATGTTGATGACTTTGGCAGTGGGGATTATTATATATTTTTTTTAATGTATGCATGCATGAATGAATGAAAGGCCTTCCTTAGGTCTGGCTTGGAGGGATATACTAAGCCTTGGGGGCATTCTCAGCCCTCCTTGTATTACCCACTCTCCCTTCTCTTTGGGTTGCTTTGGAGAGAGACCCCAAGGTACTGAGACCAGCATCTTGGGAACTGCAGAACATGCCTTGCAAAGACATGGCACATCTTTCTGGCAGTCATTTCTCTGCCTGTTCTGCCAGACACTTGGTAGTGCCACTCAGGGTATGATTTGCCCTGCAGTGGAGACAGTCTGCTAGCTAGACCCACATCCTGCCCCTACCTTGTTTTGTTATTGTGAAAACAAACAAAGGGGTAGCCCAGTGGGGGACAGGGGAGGGTGAAAGAACACAATAAGGTCACAGGGCCCTGCTCTAAGTGTGTCCCGTGCATGCCATAGGGGTTAGGGGCCAGAGACAAGATCCTCCTGGTGCTGAGGAAATAGCAATGGATTTAGAGCCCCAAAAGCTGCCATTTAAGCGCTACCTCCTTACTGGCTGTGTAAGGTTGGGCAGCCAGTTTACCTTCACATGTAATATGCAAGTGCTAACAGAGCCATCTCAGGGCTGGTGTGAGAAATACATTTAACATTCATACATTTATTTATTATTCACTCTAACAGTGAATGCAAAAGGACTTAGTTGAAGACTAAAGTACTAAAAACTTACCGTGGTTAAGACTTTGGCTGTGAGTCTGATGGTTGGTGTGTTTGACGGTATTACTGTCCATCAATATTCAGTGTCCTTCCCTGGAGTCAGGCTTGGTCATGTGACTTGGCCAATGTGAGCAGAAGTGCACCATTAGTTCCAAGGGGAAGTTTAAAAACTTATTAGCAATTCCCCAGCTCTATCCTCTGCCCTAGGGATGGAGGGAGCATGTGTGAAAATAGGGCCCTGGGGAATCGGGGACCTGAGTGATTAGAATGAGCACAGCTCCCAGGCTGCTGCTTGATGGGACCCTAACAGCAGCTGGTTTAGGCCACTGGGATTTGGGGGTTGATTGTGACTGCAGCAAAACCTAGCCTGGCATCACCATACAGACGAGTACCGTTTCTTTACGCAGTTTAATAGAAAAACAACAGAAGAAAACACGCACAAAGAAAACACATAGAAAATAACAGCAAACACAACACAGGCTTGGGGAGATGGCAGGCGGGCCTCAGCTGGGTGCTACTTGTTGCTGCTCTTGGGAAGAGGCCGGTAGACTCCGACCACCACGGCGTGGTCCCTCTCATAAGGCTCCAGGGTCAGCTGCTCTTGAGGCTTCAAGTTCTCCTGCTGCAACTTCCTCACCTCAGAAGCAAACACAGCCTCGGCGGATGCAGTGGAGTCGATGCAGTTGGCCTTGATGGAGATGAGAAAGTGGCCCCCGTTGCGCAGGAAGGTGTGGGCGTTCAGGGCCACGATGCGGGACTGGTCGGGCTGGGCCACGTCGGCGAAGATCACGTCCACCATCCCGATGAGCATGCGGTACTTGAGCGGGTGCCGCGCGTCCTCCAGGACCGGGATGATGTTGGTGCGCTTCTTGGCCACGTTGACCAGATCGCGGCCTGCGCGGTGGGAGAACTCGACGGCGTAGACCAGGCCGTCCGGGCCAATGATGTCGGAGACGTGGGAGACGGTGGTGCCCGACGCGGCGCCCAGGTACAGCACCTTGGACTTGGGCTTGATGTGGATCTGGTCCACCCCGCCCAGGATGGCCGCGGCCAGCTTGGAGCGGAACGGGTTCCACGTGCGGTACTCCTGCTTCACGCCGCCCTCGGTCACCGTGACGCGCCTCTCGCCGTACACCGACAGGCCGGGAACCATGTTCAGCGTGACCAGCGCGTCCTCCGCCCCGCGGTAGATGAAGACGCCCTCGTGCCGGTGCGGCTCCACCGACACCACCATGGCGCCCTTCCTGCGGCGGCTCCTGCTCTTGGCCACTCCGCCCCGCCGCTGCCCGCCGCCGCCGCGATCCCTGCAGTCCCCGCCGCCGCGCCCCCGGCCCCGGCCACCCCCGCCGAAGCCGCGCGCCCGTGCCCCGAAGCCGCCCTTGCCCCCCGGGCCGCCGCCGCCGGAGGGTTCGCGC